AGTCCTCCTACCCGACCCCTTCCCAGGCCCCGACTCCGGTTCAGGAGCCAGGATGCACCGAGAACGCACACACTCATCCTGCCCTGGAAGTGCACACACTAGTCCTGCCGAGGCGGCCGGAGGGCGGGCAGGAAGTGAGGGTCTGGACAAGAGGCCCACGGCGATTCCCAGGGTCACCCGGCCACATCAGAAGACAGTAAGTGGACATGCAATCAGGGTCGGTGAAAGCAGAGTGGGTGCTGAACTTAGAAATGAACTTTTCTCCGTGAAGATGCACGTAAATCCTCAGTGCTACCCTTTGACTATTCTGACCAGTGAAAATGGTTTTCCAGGGGAAGAGCCTGAGACTCGCTCCTCTTCCTCTGGGAGGCTGGGCAGACGGGGGGGGGGGGGGGGGTAGATAAGGCCTTTTACTAGAAACGCGGGAGAAAGAAATTACTATCTTCCATCCCAACACTTCTTCCCCGGTTTCCTCCAAAAAAAAAATACTCAAACATGAAATTGTTCAATGACAAGTCCGTGTCATGTTCTCGTCCTTGTCGGGTCGCCGGCCAAATTGACCCGTCCCCCGAAGGGCGCGTGTTCACCAAGTCGCCGCCCCTGGGGCCACGCGGGCAGCACCCCGGCTCCCCCGCTGTCTGCACGGGTCCCCGCTGCTGGCAAGGAAGTGTGGCCCCGGGTTACGAGCTCCCGTTCTGAAGTCCCAGGAGTGAACACAAGGCCCTGCTGCTGCGCAGGTTACTGATGCGGCGGGACTCAGTTTCCCCTCTAAGAACGGAGGTGAGAAGAGTGATGGGCATGGGTTCACCTCCTGGTGAGGATCCAATGGAAGAATAAGAAACAGATAAAGCTTCTGATACGCTGTCTCAAAAGCATAATAAACAAGTATACAAACGTACTCAGATAAATGTTATTACATTATATATATATACATATATATGCAATATCGGGAGAGAAATAAATAAACAAGACTCGTACGTGCTCCTACTGGATAATAAATAAATGTCCCAAGGCGCAGTCATCGGTGCGCAGTGAAAGGGCTCGCACTGCATCGGTCTGACCCGCGGCCCCGCCCAGGCGCCGGTCCTCCGGCCGCATCCGCAGGAACCCGGCGGGCAGCGGGGACCAGCGCTCCGTGTGCCCCCTCGCAGACCCCTCTGGAGGTCCTGTGTGTCCCCGCTCCTGAGCTAGGCCCTCTGCAGAGGGAACTCGCTCCGACAGAGGCTGAAGGGTAGAAGACGGGCCCTTTTCATCTCCAGTAACCAAATAAAGGAGAATCCGAGAGCTGGACTTTAATCCAATTGGTAAACACATGCAGGGCACAGACCCCAGGTCAGCCCTGCGCCAGGGACCCGGGAGAAGAAATAAGGAAGATGGGTCCCCTCGGGGAGGCCGCTTCATCTCTCTCCACACGCAGCTGTTCAGGAATGCAAAATATCTTTCACTACATCTGTTTCCCTGCGAAATGGTAGGGATTTCATATTTTATTGCACTACTTTGGCTTGCTTTTATTTTAATGAAAAGATTTATGTGCAGAAGAAAAACATTGGTTTTGTTCTATCTTAACCCATAAACCTCATTGACATTTAAGATCAAATCAATGTCTAATAATATAAACCGGAAGTGACTTATTAAAGTTACTAAATAAATATAACCAATCATATTTTCATTGAAATAAGTTGACAAAACAGTTTTGAAGTCCTGGAGAAGAACTCATTCTCTAGTTAACTGATTAAAACCTACATATTCCGATAGAGTAGATTCTCCCTGAACCTCCTATAACAGAGATAAATGATATTAATCCGAGTTGAGCTACAATGTCAATTTAGGAAATGCACTGAACTGGGGGGACAAGTGTGTTATAAGTGGGACCCCTCGCTGATCCACGCTGGCTCCCCAGGTGACTCCAAACCGTTTGACAGGTGGCTGTCTCCCTCAGTTAGGGACCGGAAACCCGAACTCCCTCCCCTGACGGGTGCCAATGTCTTTCCTTTGGGACGAGAGCACCTGTCCCTTCTCACAGCCCGGTCAGACCGATCTTGTCCTCACACTTTCTGTCTGGCCCAGTCACTTCCCCTTGTAACGTGAGGCCACGCCAGTCCATTGGCTTTTCCTGTGCCAGCGAAGGGAGCTCGGCGCCAAAGGAGAAGAACATGCCCGATTGTCCTGCCAGGTGGGCGGGTGCAGAGCAACACCGAGGCCATCACAGTCAGGGTTATGGAGCCTCAGGGTAAGAGCATGGCACCTAACACATCACATCTATGTGCTGTGTATGTATCTGCAGAGACCCAGCCATGAACATATCTCTATTTTCAAGAAAGAAGCCTCAGTGGAAGCCAAAGATTCTCCTATACCCTAGAGGTCTCTAAGGAACTTGCTTTAATTGGTAGTCAGAATAGTTTGTATTTAACATATCAAATACATAATAGACAGAAAATAGAGAGAGATCGATAGACTGATTGATATAGAAATCAGGTAGGCCTAAGTTTATACCTATTCAATTACTGGCTGAAAAAGCCTTTACAAGGCATTAGTTTTCCGTAAGCCTAAACTTACTTGTCTGTAAAATGGATTGGATTACCTCTCCAGAGGGTTGCAAGGCACAAATGAAACAGTGTATGTAAAGTGACTGATATTTAACCTCAGTAAAGAGGAACCACTACCAACCTCACTCTTCCTGAAGAACAGTTCACTTGGAGCATCTTTGTGAGTCCAGGATTTCAGAACTGAAGGAGACAGAGTGGATGAATGGGAAGCTTCTGATACCCATCCGAGTAAGGGGATACTTTCCACAACAGTGCACAGTTTAAATAGGGTCAGTCACCTGGTGGCCAAGTGTCCCCCAAGTCACGCAGGGTGAGACAGTTCTGCTGGAGGACCCAGCTTAATTTCCTGGTCCAGAAATCACACCTGTGAAACTCGATCCAGGTGGGAAATTCTTTTGGTTGGCTCCACGGAAGGCATGGTTCATTATCAAGTTATTTCTCCAGGTCACTCTGAGGTCAGCTCCTTAAGGAGTACAACAGTGGGGGAAGGCTAGGGAACCTAGCTGCTCAGCCTGAAAGTCCCTCGCAACACCTTCCCTTTGTTGAACACTTACTGGTGCCAACACCGTGCACAGAGCCTTATGTACATCAACGTATTCCATCCTCTAAACCACCCTCCAGGAGGGCAGTTACAATAATCCTCACTTACAGGAAGAATCTCGAGCTTGAGAAGTCCAGTCATTTGTCCCAAATCACAGCTAGTAAGGGGGCGGGGCCAGCACTGTAGGTAAGTTCAGGAGCTTCTTCCCAGCAGGCTATGCTTCCACAGAAACCCATTAATCTCTCTTTTCTCCCGCCTGTCATGTGGGTTTACGTGGTTTAAAATTCTCATTGTTCTCAACTGCTGCAGAGCAGCACAACCTCCCCTTAGGAAGCAGCCTCTACCTTGCTCCAGGACCTCCAGACTATTCCTCCAATCCTCTTCCCACCTCATCTCCGATTACCCCCACGCCTGCTCAAGGATTCTTTCTGGCCTTTCAAAACAAACAGCTGGCAACAATTTAGCAACTAGTTAAATCTCTTCGCTTTGGCTCACAGGCTCCCTTTCAGGGGTACCTGGTTGGAGCAAGAGTGCCACCTGGTGGAATATTTGGGTCACTGCCAACACATAAGCTTTGGACAAAGGTTGGCAGGCTGGCTGGCTGAAGCTGAACAGAAATGGAGAAGGAGCAGTGTTCATTCCCACTGCCTGGGACCTTTCCTCGACAGCCACACGAAATAACTGTGTCCAGGCACTAATTTACCAGAATTCAAAGTCTTGCTCAAGCGCGAGCCTGGGACTTTAAAGCAGACACTTGGCTCCAAGGCCGAGGGCTGGGATGAGGGTGAGGTAAGGGGGGCATGTGCAGGATTACACTCCATCTTTATTTAAAATGTTGAAATTGTATTCATCATGGATTTTTCACATGTATTTCAACTTTTCTGATGCAGCACAAGCAGCTAAGCTTGTGCTGACGTGACGCTCTCCAAGCTGCAGCTGCAGCCGCAGCCGTGCTGGCTCGGTCCAAGACCCCTGGGGCATGGTAAGTCTGGGCGGAGGGCGCAGGGCAGCCCTGCCCACCCTCCCCTGACCTGGATCCGGCACGCCGCAGGTCTGCCTGCCCGGTGACGGTCTTTCTCAAGAGTCTGAGCCGAACGCCCACACCGGGTCGGGGTCACCCTGCACCTCTGAGTCTGCACTGGATCATTCCAGTCCCCTGACCCCCTGCCCGCCCAGGCAGGGGGGTTTCTCCTCGACTGTATGAGTGGGCATAGGAGGGGGCATGGTTCTGGGAACCCTTGACATTTTATGCAAAATTGTGTGTATTTTACAGGGCGATTGTTTAAGACGTTCTTTCCACTCTCCAGTGGAAGGAAGACAGAGCCCTGACCTGGTAAAGGAAGGGTAAGAATCACAACAGTCCGTGAAGTCCTCAGGCTATTTCAAGGGTCTGGGCAAGAAATAGCTTCCTGCGTCTGGCCTGCAGGAACAAGTCTCACTGGCCCAATCAGTGGTATGTAAATGGTGTTAGGTGATCCCCATACAAAGACCCCAGCGTTTCTCAGAGTTCAGGGGAAGGAAAAAAGTCCTCTCTTGAGAAATGGGAATCTCAGCCAGATGTCGAGAAGCGGATGTAGTTGCCGCTGCCTTCTTTGCCTTCCGCTCCCTCCTTACAATCTTTCCCAGCCCTGCCTTTGTCCTCAGGCAATGCTCTTTCGCAAGCTGTGGACGTTCCTCTGGAACTGCCGCTCCACCCTCTTGGCACCCTGCACTCATCCTTCCAGATCAGTGCTCTCCACATCTGCAGGCCAAGCTGGGCACCGGACACATTCCTGATATTGTGGCCACATTTCTGGTCTTATTTGCATATTGGCTCATCTTGCCCACAAGACTGTGAGCCCGGGAGGGCAGGGGCCCAATGTATCGTTTCCATATCCCCAGCACCCAGCACAGAGGCAGTGGGTAAAAAACAGTTTATTTGGATGAATCGACAAACAGATCCATCAGCGGATAAGTGAATCGCCCCGCCCCCCACCACACCCTCATTCCTTAGGCTCTGTGGACATTAGCGCATCAGAGTGCCAGGGGGGAGGGCGGGGGCCCTCAGGAGCCACGCCCAGCCCGCCTGGGAGCACTCTGCAGCTGTGCGGATCAGTGCCCCCGCCCTGGCCACTTCGCAGTGATTGCCAAAGCACACCACCTTGGCCTTGCTTTCTCTTCTTTTTGCTGCTCTCTGGCTCAGGGTCCCCTCAGAGCACGCACAGGAGGGAGACACTGACCAGGGGGATTCAGAGGTGAGAAAATGGTCGCTGACAGATGCCAACTGTTCCCCTGGCAGAGTCTGGGAAACCTGACTCTTCTCTGTGTGTCTCTGTCATTACCATAGTGAGGATGAAAATGAGAAACCATCTGACTCTTTCGAACTCATTTCGACAGCAGGATAGATAGAGCTGCATGCCCAGAAATGCCTTGTGCATGAACCCAAACAGCTAGTTTGACTCTGCTTCCTCCCACCGGAATTCGAGTCGTAAGAACCTGATAAAATCTTTGGGCGGCCGCTGCACACTCTGTCTGTCTCAAACACATTTCAGAACCTGCAGAGGGAGCCGGGAAGAGCTGGCCCGACCAGCTGGTTTTGTTCCTCCTCTAAAGAGGGGGTAAAGCTTCGGGGAAAAACCAGCGGCCTGAACACAGCTGTGGTCGTTACTAAATGATTAGACTTGCCACAAGCGAGATAAAAATTTCAAACAACAAAGAGGACTTTTCCGTGGTCTACTGAACGGGGTTTCTCGTGGTGTTTTGGTTCCTTCTGGTGGCCCGGCCGAGTCTGCAGCATTTCCTTGTATTCAGTTCACCTTTGTCCAAAGTCCCAGGAGCCCCCAGCCAGCCAGCCAGCCAGCCCGCCCCGCATCCCTCACAGTGCTTCCCGGGAGCTCCCCTCCGTGGGGCCCAGGGTTGTGTGGGTTTGTTCAAGGTCGATCCGGGTCTTGAGTGACTGTTGCACGGACAGCAATTAGACTCTCTCTCGCCCGTCCCTCAGAACTACAGTTCCCTTCTCTGAAGAACATGGAAGCCCACACAGGAAAAGAGAGGAACATCCCAAGTTCATAGCTGGGGAAGGGAAGTCACCTTCCTGTTTGTCCTCAAATACTCAGTTTAAATTCCCCACCTCTCCCAGAGGGGCCGCTTGTTCCTGATCCCAGTGATCAGCTGGTTCTGTGTATGTCTTATCTGTCACCCTAGATTCTTTCCTGTTGCCTTTCATACCCACTAAGCATGCCAATTTAAAGGCAAGGGCACTTTTATAAAAATATAAACCATTTAGGAATTGTCACTACAGGCCAGCCCTTGGGGTCACGTTTAGTCCTCATTGCAATCTTGGAAGGTCGATGTTTTCATTCCATTTGACAGATGGGAAGGCCGAGGCTCAGAAGGAGGCTGGCAGGGCCGAGAGCTGCTCAGTGGTGGAGTCAGGAATCAGGACTGTTGGACACGCACGTTGTCACTTTGGAGTTCCCATGGTTTCAGCAACTGAGCCAGGGAGGCATTCGCTTTCTGAGCACAGGAACGGGGACGTAAGGAGCCAGGCGATAGTCTAGACAGCAGGGCCGGGCCCAGAGCAGGGAGGGGACGCTGCCCAGGCCAAGCTCTCCCTCCTCACACCTACCCTTGCCTCCTCACCGTGCCCAGCCCTTCTCACTCCTGTCCACCTATCAGGCTAAGCCTTCCTCTGACTCCTCCATCTAGCCAGCCCTGGGCTGGGGGCGTGGGACCCACAACAGAGGAAGTGTGTGACTGCCGACACTATTTTCATGCCCATACCTGAACCGATTCCAACATTCTTCTCTAGAGAAGACAGACTGGACTTCAGAATCCTTCTCAACACAGTGTGTTTGGCCTACCTACTACTAATCAATCAGCATTGCCCTGAGCTTAAGCCTGTGTGTTATTACTGGCAGAGCAAGTGATCAGTACAATTTAATTTCTATTTCCTTCTATCCTTCCTGCCTGCCTTCTTTAGTGCTTCTGGGCTGGGTAGTGGGATGGATGGATGGATGAAAGGGTGGATGGGTGAAGGGAAATTGTCCCTAGTTGGCCCCACTCCTAATTCTGCTGACTTCACTCAGTGCCGATGCTTTCTTGACAAAACTCACTCTTAGCACGAGGCATATTTTATGGCATTTGTTACAGAAACTGATGAGATTTCTGGGTCATTCGGAGGTCACGGAGGATCCTCAGCGTCAGCATTCTGTGTCTTGCCTGGTCTCATTTCCTCCCCCTCTAACATATGCCTCAGCTTACAAACATTCATTCAGCCCCTACTTCCTCCTTCTTTTTAAAGTGCAAGTCGGCAGGAGAAATTTCTTCTCCTACTCACTTGTTTTTTCCAACGCTCCACTGTGGGGCGTGTAGCAAGGGCCAACCACTGACATCTCCCCTGTGTCTTCGCAGCCGTGGCATCCTCACCCTGTGCTCCCAGCTGCCCGGAGGCTCCGAGTCGCCTCTGCATTAGCCCTGGAGGAGGCAGCGCACTTTCCCAAGGCCCTTCCTGAACCCTGGCTTTGGTGTGAACCCACCCAGCCGTGCTGATACCAGGGTGTCCTTTCCCTTAGCGAAACACCTCTTCGTGCTCAAGAGGAAGGAAGTGTTAAGAAATTCTTATTCACGAGAGTTCGAGAAAGAACGAAACAGCTCTTACAAAGCAACATTTTTGAGATTTGAGCAGAACTAAATCAGAAGCATATGGATAGTGACCGGTTAAACCATGCTTTTATTTCCCTGGGAAGGGAAAAATACATGGAAAAATATATTTTCTGAAATGGCACATAGCGCAAAGTAGCTGGAGATTTTTAAGAAAGCCAAATGTATTAGGGGTGGTCCACCTCCAGTTATTAATATCCTGGAACCAGCTGGGGGGTAAAATTAGGTGGTAAGTGATTGTACCATTTGTTATCCCAAGTTGGAAATGACAGACTTCTCATATAATTCTAAAAAAGAAAAATGCTCTCTATACTGAGATTTATGACATGAGGTTTTGTTTCATTGATATTAGTTATAATAAATAATTCCTTTTCCTGAACTCACAGACTGTGGAAGGTGAAAGTTCAGAGGTGCCAACAGGGCACGGGGGTCAGCATGTTGGGGGAGACCCTGGCTCTGCTCACATTAGCCCTAGGCTCTCGGGCAAATTCTTTCCCCTCTGTGCCCTGGTTTCCTCATCCAGAAAGTGAGAATAATGATCAGAAGAAGTGCTAGCTCGCCGTCTGGGGGATGCACTGGGAAGAAGCGCCCAGTGAGCTGGTCTTACCCGACACTCCGTCCAGAACTCTGCCTCTAGGTAACGCCCGGCTCAGCCTTCACCTCAGACGGCAGCCAGCCTCTGGCTAGTTTGACAAAGGAAAACAGCAAAATCAAAGTGGGGATGATACAACTGACCCTAAAGAAACAAACAGGACGAGAAGAGAATGCTCTGAATAAATGCACTCTAACAGATTAGCTGACCTAGGTGAAATAGCAAACTAGTTCTTAGAAACACGCACATCACCTAAACTAACTCAAGAAAATAGGGCAAATCACAGCCTACCTCCAACAAGTAAAGAGATCGAATCAGGAACCAAACAGCTCCAATGAAGAAACGTGCAGGGCCAGGTGGCTTCACAGGTGAATTCTGCTAAATATTTAAGGAGAAATTAACCTCAATTCTTTAAAAACTTTTGCAGAACAACAGATGAGGAATGAGGGTTCCTAACTTGTATACAGCCAACATTACTCTGATACCAAAATTTGCCACTCATTTCTTTCTGGGCCGTGCTGTCCCTGACCCTTCTACCTAATTCTAGCATCACACACACACACATGCACACACACACCCTCACCCCGACTTATTTTCTTCATAGCACTCATCACCACCTGATACAGTATGTACTTATTACTTATTCACTTATTGACTCTCATCTTCCACTAGAATGTCAGCTCCGTCAGAGCTGAGATTTTTCCTGACTGTTGAATTCCCCAGGCTTAGGCAGGGCCACTGCTGTGTAACAGGTGCTCATAAAAATGTGCTGAATGAATAAACCGATTGTCCGACCATTCATTCACTGAGAGAGAACCCAGGTATTGCAGAATTCCAAGACATAGCTCACTAAAAGACAAGGAGCCTTCAAAGGCAGATAACCAAGCAAGTATTGTATCGGGAAAACAAAGGGAGATTAGATTTCTGGAGATCAGGAACTGGTGAGCACTGTCCGTTGATGCTGAGAAATGAACTACAGGAACAAATGTGTCCATGGGATTGAGCTGCAGAAGATCATTGGCCACCTGGTGAGAGTTGACATCATAAGGTGAGAAGCCAGAAGCCAGGCTGCTTTGAGGGGTGGATGAGCAGAGACAGTACACTCTGGCAACATTTAAAAAAAGGTACAGAGATAGGGACATTGCTGGCAAGAATGGGGGACACGCGCATGGATTGTTTCTAGGTGGGAAAGACCTGTCGATGTCTAAAAGCCTCTGGGAGAAATCCAGTTGAGAAAAGAGGAAGTTGTACGTACAGGAGAGGGCCACGTTTCCCAGAGAAAGAGGGAGGGGCCCCAGACCATAGACTGGCATGGTCAGGAAGGGGGAGCTCCCCCTCCTGCACCCTCAGCCTGCACACACAAGGACTATAGGCAAACAAGACCAGAGAGCCCACAGGGCTTGCCCACAGGACTTACCCACCAGCCCTGACCACATCTCCTGATACCCAACCCAGTGCTGCTTTTACTATGCATTTTTTCCTCTTGCTCAAGTTAGAATGTCCAGGGGGCAGTGAGGAAGTAAGAGGGATAGAAACCAAAGCTGATGAGTCAAAAACGCCTACTACACTACACTTTGTCATTTAAAGCTGTTGAAGAGGAAGTGCCTCTTCCCACCGAAGCGTTCCCTTCCCGGTGGTGTGAGCCCATGAGCACCGTGGTCCCCTGCAGCCCTCCCCGCCCTCCCCTGGACAGAGGACTTACCTGATTGGTCAGTCAGCTCCAGCTGGCTCTCGAACCCACAGGGAGCATAGCAGCAAAGCTGTACACCAACCAGCGTGGAGCCTGCTGGTGGGCCGACTCTGCCTGCAGGCGGATGGGCAGCCCTACCAACACTTGGGCTCAGCGTTAGGAAGTCCGTTTGCACATATTCTACTTTCTTCAGTGTCAGCTTTCCCAGTAGGAAAGGTGATATTCTGGTCTCCATCTACTTCTCTCCGTTGCCTCTTTTTCAGGTAGTTTCAGGAAAAGATGAGGGAGAAGGAAGCTCATTACTCTGATGGGAAATACACTATTAAAATCGAGATATATGAAACTTCATTCTCATAATCATTCTTTTCAAGATATAAAGACAAAAACCAGTAAAACAGAAATGAGTATTTTCTGATAGAATTTAAATAATAAAAGTACATCTTTTCAGAGAAGAACAACACCCACAGTGTAGGATATGAGAGCCCGGTTCTTTTCATGGATGTTATAAAACCCAAAGGATTTGCCTCCGTAACTTAGTTTGGTCAGAGTGCAGAATCACAGTTGATAGTTTCTCCAGCCCTTTTCAGGATGCCACTGTTTTCTGTCCAGAAGTGGCCATGGTCACATGCACGACTTTGAACTTGAGAAAAGGACCCAGGATCATCCCAGCACGTGAAGAGGCCGCAGAGCAGTAACCACTCTGCGGAGGCGGGAGAGAAACCTGCCCACGTGCGGTCCCTGTGGATGAGAAAAACGCCTCAGCAGTTGGAAAATGAGGAGCTGGCACCACACTGAGCAGTGGAGTGAGTCTTCGACCCACTTCTCTCCCACCTTCTCTGTGCCAAACAGTTGATCCTAGTAATCACATCAGAAATAGTCACTATCACCTTCTCCAATTGCTTCAGCCTCCGGTTTTCAAATTGAAAAAAACATTGGTCTTCCCTGCACAACTTCTCTCCACTGCTCCTACCTTGCTACCTGGTAATCTATTGAATACTCTGCAGGCCTACCCGTGAAGACAAGAGTCATCAGCAAGGGCACTCGTGCAACCGCACTTACCTGAAGAATCAGAGGGGCTGGGAATAATCAGGGACTTCACGGCACATCAGAGTCCGTGTGTGGGAAGTCTAGCACTGGGACAGGCACAGAGACGGAGCGGGCTGCAGGAGACCTTGCCAAGTGCGGGGCGGACATGTGCAGCGTGGGTTCAAGTTCAGGTCTGATTTTGTGGTGGGTGTGTGTCCGGGTATGTTAACCAGCAAGCATGAGAAAGAGTTAACTGTGTTCTTTATGTCTTTAACGGTGACATCTGGGCATTCATGGTGGTCCATGTCATGGAAAAATCACAGGTCTTGGGGGCTTCTGGGGCCAACTCTCTGAGATATCTGCATAGCCTTGAGGAGCTCACTAACTTTTCTTAGGTTTGTTCTGTGAAGTCTCATGAGATTCTCCTCATCTATAATATTAGAATAATAATATCTACCATTTATCATGTACTTACCATGTGCAAGACATGATGCTGAAAATTTTAAATATATAATTTAAGTTGTCCTCTAATCCATTAAGATTTGATTTATATTCATTTTACAAATGAATGATCAGATGCAGAGTGGTTAAGGGATTTGCCTAAGTCCATGAAGGTGGCCGGTATGGAAGAGGAAGGATTTAACCCAGGTACGTGTGACCCCAAAGCCTGAGCTATCCAGCACCTCATTCCGCTACCTTTCTGCAGGGTGTTTCTGGTAGGAAAGGTTCAGCTGCAGGTGACCAACAACCTCAGAGCTTTCCCTCACAGTTATCAAGGACTGCAGATCCTTCTCGTTGCTTTATCATTGTCAACAAGTGGTTTCTACCCCATGGACTGAGATGGCTGCTCATGCCCAGCCATCATGTCCCCATTCCAGTCAGTACAAAACCAAAAACACACAAAAAGGCACATCCCCCACAGTTAAGGATTTTTCCTGAAAATTGCACACAATACTTCTGCTCCTATTCCATTGACCACATGGGCACACATAGCTACTGGGGAAGCTGGGCCGTGTAATCCTATTGCATGAAGCCACGGGCTTGGCTGAAACTCTGGATTACGTGATTAAGGAAGAAGGAGAGGACAGACACCGGGGGGACAGTCTCTGGTACAGAGGGATAATGTCTACGAAACACTTAGTTCCCTGCCTGGCACCTAGCAGGTACTTGGAAAATCACCCTGTTCATTATTTATTATTATTGACCCAAATCTGGCACTCTGCAGGACACATGCAGAAAATCATAAATTCAAATCAGTCCAGGAAAGGTCACAGAAAAAGGGTAGGAGAAAAAAAAACCACTTCTTAAATCACCATGACATTAGCATTGGCACCTCCCTGTTCGGTTGCACAAACGCACCATCTTTGCTCATTTACAGCATCCCCAGGACTGTGTGGAGGGTGATAATGAGGAGATGCTTCAGTAACCACCGTGGAAGACTCAGTTCACACCACGTGACCCACTGGATGCTGCTGTCGCAGGGGACCGCCGGGACCGTAAGTAACTTCTGATGCAGCAGCTAATGGCGGTGCAGCTTTCATTACGGTAGGATAATTGAAATCTCAGTCAGTCTCTGCAGCTTCCATCTGACCCAGGTGTCATTTCTCATAAGGCGGTGCATTTTCTTCCCCCTCCCATTCGACCTTGATCGTGAGGGACAGGAGAGCGAGGTCACTGGAACCCCCAGGAAATGCCCACATCCTACTCCCATTTTAACAGCCTTCCTCAGCCATCCCGATCCCGGGGCTCTGGACAAGCTGGAGAAGGAACACCTCTCCTCAAGTGTGTCCCATGTGAGGTGGAAATGTCTAGTAGGGAAGGTTCCAGATGGCCAGTGTGAGTTGAAGTGACAGACAGACAGCATGAAAGGGAAAACAGAAAGGGAAAAGAAGAGAGGAAAAGTGGTGGCACCGAGAGACCCATGTCACTGTGCAGTTCTGAAATACATGGGGCGACCGCCCTCGGGCAGGAGGTCTCTGGGACATGATGCTGGGATGCCTCCCACACAAACTATGTCTTCATGCTCCCTCTGATGCCCCTGACCTCGAACTCTGGGTCATTGTCCCTCTGCTCCTGATCTTTCAGAGGCCCCTCACATCCTTTCCTGTCTCTCTGGCTCCTTCCTTACAGCTTTCATTTTTGCACCACCCACTCAACAGAGTAGGCAAGGAGCTCATAGATTTGCAGCAAAGAGAACATCTGCTCAGTGACGCAAGTCAAGGTGTTCTCTTAATACTGTTGACAAAGCTAATGAGCACCCGACACCCTCCGTTCCACAAGGGCCCAGCTCCAGGTTTTATCTCTTCCACGTTTTTTTTTTTAGTTCTGTCAGTGCTCATGGTATGACCAAACCGTTCCTGGCTACCACTGTCTTAACCCAGAATTGATACCAGATTAGCCTTGTGCAAAGTAATTTGCAGAAGGGGAACTATGGTCAAATCAGGAAGGAAGGAATGTCTGATTTTAGCAGACAGCCAGAATCCAAGGCTTTCTCTGGCCTCCTGTACCCTGACATGTTCCAGCCATGACCAGCTCGACAAGGAGTAGTGATGGGGCGATCCCCCTCAGCCATCCTGGAGGGCCTAGTGTCTTTTCCGTTTGGTTGCTCAAGACATTGGCAGGAATAGATATTGTCTTATCACTCATTTATTATTCACACATCCTCAAATTCTTCTTCTCCCCCAATCTGTGCTCTTTGAGGGGGATACTTCCTTTGCCACAACTGACAGAAGTTCATGGGCACTGGCGCTAAATTCATCTGTTAGTCTCTCGGAGTCTTGCAGTCTACCTCGGTGAGCAGGTAAACTCGGATTCCAGGCCGGAGATCACATCACCGGTCAGTCAGCTGGGCTCAAGGCTCTCCTTCAAGCCTGGAAACTTCCCAGCACCTACTAGTACCCTCTAATCCTGTTTCATCTACATGTGCATGTCTGGGAGACATCTGAGCCTGTGGACAGCAAGACCAGCCAGGAGACCGGCAGAGTCTGGCTTATCCTCTCCTCCTTTTGCATCTCTGAATCTAGCGGAGCAACACGTTGCCCCTCCCAGACTCCAAATATGGAGTTTACCTTTGCCCTTTGGCATCCTGCAAAAAGAAAGACCAGCAGGCAGATAGTGGGCTGTCAAAGAAAAGAACCACAGACCGCAGATTTCAGAGTATGAAGAACCTTAGAGACCATCCATGCATGTCATCTTACAGAGCGGAATGCCCTGGTCAAGATCACACCAAAACCTGTGCCAGGGCCAGAACCAGACCCAGACCCAGACCCAGAGACCGACCCTCTGCCTCAGAGTTCAGGGCTCTCTCAGAGGTGCCCAGTGTGCTGACGGAACTCTGGTGTGATGCACCAAACCACAGTCGGCAGATGCTGGAGTCCACAGCACCCTGAGAAGATACCAAAGAGACAAAAATGTAGAACAACTGACAGAGAAGAAGAGGCAGGAACTTCTTTTGTTTTTTTTAGTGACCACCGGGTGCTCCCATTGGCCTGTTCACAATGGGGAGTGTTGAGAGGGCCCAAAGGGCAGGGAGCAGGGGAAAGGAGAGGCTCAGAACACAGTGTGGAGTCTGGGAAACCAGGCTGGGGACCGGCCGGCATGAGTCTAAACCCTAGCTCTCCCACTTACTAGCTGTGTTCCTTAACCTTTCTGTGCCTCAGTTTATTCTTCTTTTAAAGAGAGATAATAAAATTATCTACATAAAAGGTAAGAATTAAAGGAGCCATTTCATGGAAAGCACTTAGGACAGGGCCTGACACTTAGCCATTGATTGTTATTATTATCGGGGAAGAGAGGCATTAGGAACAGCTGGGAGAAAGCCACAGGGCATCTCTCAAGCCTGACTGTAAGTAAGTCCCTGCTTCTAGTGTTTCTACGTGGCAGGATGGCACAATGAAAGGAGCCTGGTAGTAAAGACTGTATCAGTTAGTGTAAGTCCGAGCTGCTGTATGTAACAAAGAGGCCCCCAAATACCATGACTGACAGAACAATGACGATGACTTCCCTGTCGCGTAATAATCCAGATATGGACTGTGCCAGTCAGTAAAGCAACTCTCCTCTTTACTGTCATTCAGGAACCCTGGTTCTTTCTAAGTTGTGCTCCACCGTCTTCTTCAGGATCTTGTCAAACTGAGTCAACACCACATCTGGTTTTAGGAGCAGGTAGAAGGAAGAGAGTGTGGAGGAGGCACTGGCATGCTCTCCCAGCTCAGGCTCAGAAGGGGCACCATGATTTCTGCTCACAGCTACTTGCATGAATTGCAATCCTGTGCTCACGCCAGGCTGCAAGGGAGGCTGGGAATGGAGTCTAGCTGGGCAGCCACGGACCCAGAGAGGAAGAGCAGAGCGGTGTTCAGCCCAGTTCTTCCCATTACTCACTGTGTTTGGAGGCGAGTTATCTAACTGTTTCCATCTCTTTTTGTTCATTCATTAAGCCAGTTCTCTATTCTTGGTCACTCTTTTCTTGCACAAGTATTTCCTGAACACCTACAGCGTGCCGGGCCCTGTTCCACATCCTAGAGATACATCTTTGAACAAAACAGAACAACCCCCTTCCTCTCTGAGGTAGGTTCACTGTGAGGCTAATGAGTTGTCCAAAAAAATGTTCTTTTCATTCTAAATCAGCATTCATTTTCATGCCTAATGTTACATTTTATTTGTTATTGTTTTTCTTAAAAATTACCTCAGATTTAGATGCACTTTAGTCCCCGCAAAACTTGGGTCTGTTCCTACTGCTCTTGTGGAGCTCACATGCAAGTTGGGAGACAGAAGGTGAACAAGTAACCAGTAAATATAACATCAGATGGTGATAAGTGTTGTGATGCATAGACCCCAAGAAGAAAGGTTTGTTTCATGTGAACCCTGAGAAAGAACTTATTTACCTGCTGTGATGGACTCCTCATGGTTAATTGAGGGCTTAAATTTTATAAGAAGTAAGATTCCAGCCCTGGCTGGTGTGGCTCAGTGGATTGAGCACCAGCCTGCAAACCAAAGGGTCGCTGGTTCGATTTCCAGTCAGGACTCATACATGCCTGGGTTGTGGGCCAGGTCCCAGGCTGGGGGCATGTGAGAGGCAACCACACCCTGATGTTGCTCTCCCTTTCTCCCTCCCTTCCTTCTCTGTAAAAGTAAATAAATAACGTCTTTTAAAATAAATAAATAAATGATAAGAGCTAGCAGCCACCTGCAGGCAGAGGCTTCCCGTGCACTCTGAAGACCAGGGAGAATCTCTGACTGGACTCTTGGCTCCCCAGCCCTGTGTCCGCTCCCGTCCACCTTTACAAAGGATTTCCTCCTTCCGCCTTGCAGCCAAGGACTGAGACCTGCCCCATCCATTCAGAATTGCGCCCTCCCAACAGATCAGTGCGAAATACTGACCAATCAGAATTGCAAAATTCAGACCCATCAGGACTGTACTAATTTAGGTACCTCATTTACATAAGATGGACCTAATTAAGGAACCTGAGCAGGAACTTTCTGTATAAAGAAACTACAGTGTCCCCTTTGTGGTAGTGAGGCACTCTGTTTCCCGCCTGAGGCTACATCTCCCAGGGTTGCAAACTGTTTACCTGAACAAAGTCTCCCCTTTTTCTGTTCCATTGCCTTTAGGATTTGCTCACAGAGGTAAGAAATAAAGACAGGGGAAGGAGAGAGAGCACTGCTTTTTTTAGCTCAGTTTGAGCCCTTGTCATGTGAACAGAAATTGAGCAAAGTGAGTTGTTCTTACTTTTTACTACTGTAAAAACTACTGTGATTTATTCTCTCATGCACAAATCTTTGTGTTTGCTTCTGATTGTTTTTTAGAAATCGTTTCTGGCAGTAGAGTTCATGAGTCAGAGGAACAAATGTTTTTAAGGTTCCTGAAAACCACGTGCTGAAACCACTCTCTTTATTGAGACGGTTCATGAGGGTTATAAAAGAACCAATGATAACGATCAAGATTTTGAAGCATGTTAAATATCATTTTTTCAAAGGTTAAATATACCCAAGAATTTTAAGGGGTGCTTACATCTGTCCTGTCTGGGCCTGTCCATGCCCTAGGTCTTAACTAGCCTTTTCCACCTCCCATCCTAAACACCTACAGAATTCTAGTGCAAGAAAGAATCTTGGTGTTGATGCGTTCACTGTGGAGACACTGTCGACTTGCCCTAAGTCTCACAGTGAGGAACAGTAACAAAGCCTCAATCTCTCAGCGCCTGTGTCTGCAATAAAAATCAGCGACAAGTGAAATGTGCTCACAGTGTTTTGTGACAACAGAAATTAAGACAGAAGCTTTAAAATAAACATCCATGGATATGGCCCACCAGATTTACCTACCTCGTAGGTGGTGTGAGCACTAATTGAGATAATAAACATAATATACATAGGACAGTGCTAGAACACTGTGAGAGACACTTATCATTATTTTTATTTATTGATTTTAGAGAAAGAAATGGCGGGGGAGAGAGAGAGAGAGAGAAGCATTGATTTGTTGTCCCACTTATTCATGCATTCATCAGTTGCTTCTTGTAGGTACCCTGACCGGGAATCAAACCTGCAACCTTAGTATATTGAGATGACACTCCAACCAACTGAGCTATCTGTCCCGGGCTTGTTAAGTGACATTTAAATGTCAGTGATGCATACTACTTTGGTGGCAGAGCAAGGGGAGGGTTCTAAGACCAGATGTGGGCCCGTGGGAAAGGGAGCAGGTGTGGGGTAGCGTGGGGTGGTCTTGGGGCCTGTAGGCATGGACAGAAGACCTTAGCAGGAAGGACTGGCCATTCCACCTCTGGAATCCCAGGAGCTGGGGAAGAAGTCACATGAGACCACCCAGAGGGACAGAGACCTGCAGACCCAGGTCAAGGAAACCGCAGGAGACCAGGGCCCAGCTGGAGGTCTCGGCAGAGCCCATAACAGGGCCAGCTTTCATCGTCTGCCAGGCCGCCCCACAGAGGCCAGCTGCCGGCCCAAAGGGCTTAGGCCACCCAGCCATGTGAGAACTATATTATTCCCTTACCTCTCTCTCTGGGCTTCATTCCAGGCGTGGAGGAAAACAGCAGCTAGCAAGGGGAGGAGCTGAGCAGAGGAGAGGAGAGGAAAAGGACCGTGCCCTTTCCCAGGGCAGGCTTCCAGCACGAGGCAGGTCCGAGCCAAGGGAGGAGAGGAGGTCTGAGGCTAAATCAGTTTCAGAGTTTTAACTATTACCTGGGACTGCTTGGATTCAGATCTTGGGATGCTAAGATCTGAAGTGAGGCTATTTTTGGCAGCTCAAAGGTTTTTTTTTTATTGCCTGAAGGTGACAGGAAGTCCACTGGCTTGCCCAAGTCATCATTGGGGGTGGAGGGTTCTGCTGCTATAAAATAAAATTTAAAGAGACAGCAAGGGACCCCACAAAACTTGGATCTGCCTCCACTGCTCTCAGAGGAGATAGATTCTTGATAGGGAGAGAGAGAGAGATAGACAGACAGACAGAAAAAGTTGCATTTTGCTTAGAATCCCTGTTTGGTGCTTTTCCAATGTGGCCCTTACCTGTGATTTCTGTCTGATCATCATTCAGTCTCTGTCACACCCGTCTGATGTTATTTCCTGAAGCATCTCCTTCTGCTAACAGGACACCCTGCAACTCCACACTCGAAAAGCAATTCTGGATTTCCTTTTAAACCCCTCTTCCTGTTTGCACACGTGGCAGTTTTATTTTCCAGAATCCTCTCACTTGCCTGACCCCAGTAACACACACTATGTAGGCCCACGTTACTCTGAGCTCTACAGAAGCTCAAACTCTCTGTCATCGAGTCTCTGAGCCACAGAGGCCCATGCAGGGTTTTCCTGTTCCTTTTCCATCACCCTCCACTGGCAGCCTGTACAGATTATACCCAGTCAGTTCCCTCACCCATCATTTATTGGATTGGGTGCCCTCTTTGTGCGAATCACCCCGTGGGGTGCTGGGGATACAAACTTCATAGCTGAACAACACACGGTGCCTGCCCTCAGGACACCTCCTGTCTACTCTTCTGCATTCACTGGGATGCGTCTACTCTTCCGCAAAAGTACTGTGATGGCAGGCGACTGGGACAGTGTCAGCACTGCACAAATGGTGCAGTGGGAGCATGGGAGGGAGTAGTTAACTCTGCTTGGTAATGGATCAGATCGTTTTCACAGGATGAAAACCACAGGGCTGGAAGGGTCAGTAGGACTCTCCCAGGCAGTGGAAAGCAGGGTGGGTCAGACAGAGGGAACAGTCTGTACAGAAGCACTGTATGAGTCAGGACAGACCAAGTTATGCTGATATAACAAAAGGACCTGAAGTCTTAGTAGCTTAATATAACTAAGGATTTTTTTTTCCACTCAAAACCACATGTCAAATGCAGGTCAGCGGGCTGTGGGGTGGGTGGAAGAATTGGGGGCAGGGCTCCACTCTGCACAGTCACTTGGGTCCCCAGGCTAGCAGAGGCTACACACACTTACTCTGTACCGTCCAGAATGTGTGGCTTCCAGGTTTGCATGGCAGGAAACAAAAAGCTGAAAGGCAATACACTTGCTCCTAAATACCTCAGCACAGAGGTGATGGATACAATGTCCATTCACAGCACATTGGCTAGAACTAATCACATGCCTCACTGGGTTGTGAAACGTACAGGAACACATGACTCTTTTATGCACAGTAAATGTCTCTACTATAAGCTCAAAGGCATAGCATCATTTCCTAGGCTTAGGATATGAAATCGTTCAAAGTGATTAGAGAAGAGAGTGCAGAGAGGCAGTTTCAAAAGTTGCATTAGGAAAGTAAGGACAAGATGATAAAATCTTGTGTGCCACACATAGGCTTTTGGACCAGTGCATGCATGGAGCAGAGCTTTTGAAGAGTTTTAGACATGGTATGACAGGCATGTTGGTGTTTTACATACAACTGTCATGATGTGACACAGAGGATGAATCGGAAGGCATTCAGACAGGAGATGGAAAGACCTGTCCAACTCCCGCAGTCGTCCAGGTTAAAGGTGATGAAGGAGCTAAGACGGGGGTCATTGGGGATGAATGAGAAATGGTGAGGAGACAGCCAATAGGACTTCATGACTAATCACAAAGGGAAGAGGCAGGACAACAGGATGACTCTATTCTGCTTTACACAGGCCAAGGGGCCACCGATGAAGGAGAAGAATACAGGAGGGTAAGTGGGTTTGGAGAGAAGACACTGAGGGCAACTGGGGACCTGAGTTTGAGTCGCTGATCATGCTTGTCGTAGGTTGAATTGTGTCCCCTAAAATGCTTCGTTCAAGTTGTAATCCTCATTAGCTCAGAAGGTGACCTTATTTGGGTAGTTGCAGACATCATTAGTTGAGATGAGGTCACCTGGAATAGAGTAAACCCTGAATCCAATGACTGGTGACCTTAAAAAAAAGATGACTATGTGGCAATGGAGACAGAGACTGGAGTCCTGTACCTACAAGCCAAGAAATACCAGGCACTGCCAGAAAACACCAGAGGCCAGAAGAAGCAAGAAAGGACTCTCCTCTGTGTGTTTCGGAGGGAGTACGGCCCTGCCGACAACTGGATTTTAGACTTCCAGCCCCTGGAACCGTGTGAGAACGTGTTTTGTGGTTTTAGGTCAGTTTGTGGCGCTCTGTGGCGGCTGCCCCAGGAAATGGACGCAGGCGTCCGATGCAGCTGCCCTGTTCCAAGGTGTAAATGAGGTCAGACCGGTCTTCTTCCAAAAGCCCAAAAGGGGGTACTTGGGAACACAGAATACCCTGGGGGCAGGTGCGGGACGGGGTTTACTCATCCCGGGGTAGAGAGGAGAAGGGGGCATTAGACAGGGAAACCTCACAACGAGGGCGACATTTGAATGGGGCTTTGTGGACTAGGTAGAGATCTTTTTCTCTCCCAGGTGCTGGTAAGCTTTTGGGAGCCACACATACATATCTACTCAAATGTCTGACCAATATTTACTGAGCACTTTTGTCTCAGGCTCTGGGCCAGGCACAGAGAATATGACGGTGAGTGTACAGGCAGAGTCCCCAGTCCCATGCAATTTATAATGCACTGGGGAGAGTGACGCTGATCAAGCGATCCCTCGGAGAGATGTGTAAGCACTCCCTCTGATCAATGGTGTGAAAGGAAGTCACCAAGGTGAGAGAACACAGTTGCAAGGACATCGGTCAAGCCTGGAGGCTGCGAAAGGTGAAGAAGCAATGTTTGAGCTGAGATGGGGGAAAAGATGTTACTGGTAGGTAATGAGAGGAAGGAGGGAGACAGTCCAGGCAAAGATCTGAAGGAGGGGGAAGAGGACATGTACATGCTGGGGGACCTGAAAGACAGCCAGTGTCACTGCAGCGGGGAAGGGAGGAGGGGCTGAGGCGGACGGCTGCAGCCACTGCCCGCGGGACCTTGAGGGGTTTCATGTTCACCCCAGGAGCAAACAAATGGATGGAAAGCCAGTCGATGACTTTCAGCGGGAGTGGCGAGAACAAAGATCACAATTGGTTTTTGTGTGCGCATGTGTGTTTTAAGATCACCTTGATGAGAATGGAGAAAGGAAGAATGGAAACAAATAGAACTATTAAGAAACAATTGTACTGATTCAATCCAGAGAGAATGGGGGCTTGAACTGGTGGTAGCAGTGGAGATAGTAGATTCCAGAAGTATTTCTCTAGGAGCTAAGCGAAGGAGAGAAATAAATGAATGAAAGAAATCAACTGTCCATATCTACAGCTATCCACACCCCTGAAGGCCTCGGACCATCAGATCCCAGCTCTCGAAGGAGGTAAAGCTGTGGCTCTGGGTGCCGAGAGTCTTGGCCCACTTTTGCAGCTTGGGATGTGCTGAGTTCAAATTGTCGGCTCAGCTGGGTGTGAAATGAGATGTAAGATGCCGCTGCGGGTGGGCCTTGTGTTCCGTCCCTTCTCCGTCCTGACAGGGGAGGATGGCGTTCTGAGGAGTGGAAGGCAGCCAGCCATCCGTGAACGCCCTGAGGGTCTCACAGCTGAGAGGACCTGAGGAGCACTGGGAAACTGCTTCCATCCTGCCTTCTTGAATCGTTCTGAAATGCTGGGATGCACTCTGTGGATTTAATTGAAAATCAATATGGTTCATCCTACTTAGGAAGTGACACAAACAGATGACTCAATATTTGTTTAATAATGACATCATGTTCACTTTTATGCCCAAATTCCAGTGACGCTGAGCTTCCCATGTTAAACAGCAAGACCTGAGCCCCCTTTTAAAAGTCTTCCTGCCATTTCTGAGCAAACCCAAAGGGCTGTCTGCGTCCTGGCCACAGGAAACGCACAGCCTTCCGCACTGGCTTTTTCTGCAGTAAGCCATCACTGGTGCAGTGCACCAAAAACATACCACTAAAGAAACATCCCTGTCACGATGGCTGACAGTGCCGAGACTGTCCCCAAACTCTGTGCCACAGCTTGTCACTGAGGTGCTAAGGCAGAATTGCCAAGTGTCCGGGTTCAGTCTGTTACACAGACGGCTCCTTCTGATGTGGCTCTTACCCCTCTCCTTGCAGGAAACTCAAGCCTGATTCCAAGGCAGGCAGAGGCCGGAGGCTATGACATGCCTGCCCTGTCGTCCCTGATCTCTCTGCAGGGCCCCTCGCACCCCACTTCCATCTCTCCCCATCAGGTTCACGAACCCCAGGCACAGCCCCAGAAACCTAGAGAGCCTTAGCCCCTCTCACTAACTGTGGTAGAGCCTCAGCCCCTGCTGACCCAGACACACACGTCACACAGCACACACACACACACACCACACTAATATACACAAGAAAAGGAGCTAAAGGCCACACATCAAGGAGCTTTAATACCGATGACGACCCTGGAGGGAGAGCATTTAAGTGTTTCTCATCTTTGTCTGCTGAGGAACCCACTTGGCTTTAGTGTAGTCATTTTATCTTGTTAATGCTTTTGAAAAGTATGTATGAAAATGCATGTTACATTTTATTGTGTAATGCTTTCCATTTTTAAAACCTGCTTTAGATATTACTCTTTGGCCGATAAAACTGGAAGCTCTCTAATTTATTTGTGTCTCCCTACAAGTTGCTTTCAAGCCTGCAGAAACTGTCCTTTGAGTGTTTTCTGACTGTGCCTCATCCTAAAAGGGAAGCTGGTGAAGGGCGGCCTTCCCAGGGTGCCAGGGTGCTGCGTCCAGCGCCACACACCCCAGAGCCTGGGTGGGCACTGTAACCCCCGCTGCACTGATGAGGACACAGCACCTCGAAGCAGAGGTGATCTCTAAGG